TCCCGCGAGGAGGATGAGGCGTTCTCTGGTCTGGGGGTCGGAGCACCTTGCCTGCTTTGGGAAAAGGGAAAGCGGCGGCTTTTAGGTGATTTGTGAGTTTTAGGGATAGCAGTCAGGTGATTTTCAGAGCTAGTGGCTTAAGTTTTTGTGGAAGAATGGCAGGTTCTCTAGGAAGAGTGGGGAGGTGGGAACACTAGGGGGATTTGCCCGTAGAGATGGAGCAACTTGATGTATGGGAAGCGGTGGACTCACTAGAATTCCCCTTTTCGCAGGTTACCGCTTTTCCTGTTTAGACCACTTCCTGCTTACAAACCTTTGGTGAGTTTGTTTGTTGTTCCTGCAAACGGGTTCTGTTTGCTTACTGGTAAGCCTGGAAGTCGGTTCTAGGAAGCTTCGATTGGCAGTGAGAGTAGGCTCATCGTCCTTCTCACTGCAGAAGCTTGGATTCGGGGAGCTGCAGACTAGAGGGACAGAAAATATTTCGAGAATGGGTCTTTGGGAGAGCAGATGGTCAGTAGGGATAGGAAGGCGCGTGAGGTTTACCACAGCCTTCAGTTTACTATCTCTTCGTCATCTCTTAGGTGGCAACTTTGTGTGGATTGGTTTGTCTGGTACCACTCCCCTCACCAGGTTGTCGTTGGACTGGATTTTCTGTATTTGTGCAATGCAATCCGTAACCACTGATGAGTGGTTAAACCCCACTACTAGTCCCAGAACCCGTTTCTTATGTTTTGACACTAGCCATGTGGAGCTACAAGGGTTAGGTATTTTTGGGGAGGTGAGGTTTCCTAGGAGGGGTTTTGCCTTCCGGGCAGGTGTTTGGTCCTTAGGAAAACGGCCCCATAATATCACCCTCCTTGCGCAAGCTTCTTCGATTGGTTGCTTTTTGGCTGTCTAAGATAGTTTGTTTGGATATCTTAATCGCTTGCTAGGCGGCCTTTGTTGTTTGGAGCTCATTCCGGATGAGCAACCTAAGCTCCGAGAGCTGTTGTTCAAGCCGTAAGATATGAGCCTTCATGTCATGGCGGTTAGACCTAGATACTTATCGAATTGAATGCCGCTTTGCTTGTTGAAGAGACTATCTCTTCTGGCAACGCGTTCCAGTATGCAATTACCCTGAAAGTGAAGAAAGATGTGCGAATGGTCTTGCGGAGTTGAGGTTTGAATAGCTTTTTGCTATTATCCCGTGTTCCCGTGGGGGCTAGAGTGAAGAACTTATCTATTAGGCCGGAGGAGAACAGGTGGTTTAGAAGAAAGAAGTCACCCTTAATTCGCCTGACTTCCAGAGGATACAGACCAAGCTACACTAGACGTTCAGGATAGGGTAGGTGTTGCATTCCAGCCACCGCTTTTTCTGCCGCTCTTTGAACACGTTCAAGAGCATCACGATCGCGGATCAGGCCGGAATGAACAACTTGACTACCGTATTCTAGAAGGGGATGGATAAAGATGCCATAAATGAGTGGAAAATCTTTCTTGGTGATATGAGGGAAAGGCCTTCGAAATAGGTGCAGAACACGGAAGGCAGATTTGCTGGCTAACTGGTTATGGTGTGAAAAAGAAAGGTTACTATTTCAACCAGTAGCCTAGGACCTTGTGCAAGTTGGTATGCTGAAGAGGTTGCGTACCACTTATATGAAACGAGACAGGAGGGGAGTTCCCAAAAGTCACACCTACACACTTGTCATCGTTAATGGGCACATTCCATTTAACGGACCAGTGTTTAACAGCATCAATAGACGCCTGCAGCGAGCAGGTATCTGTGCCCCAGATAGTGACATCATCTGCATACATGGCTACGTTTGCAGGTAATGCACTAGATAGATCATTAATATAAATAGGGAGGAGAAGGGGACCGGGAACAGATCCCTGAGGGACACCGGTTGTAGTAGGGCTAGGTTCGGATAATGTACCGTTAACCCTTACAGTAAAAGCGTGGTGAGAGATAGAAGAGGATCAGTCATTGCACACACACCCCAACTTGTGTATGAGTGGGACATGTGGGACCTTGTCGAAGGCTTTAGCAAAATCTGTGTATACGGCGTACGAGATTTTGTCTTCATCATAAGCCTTTGTTAAACTATCCATGACAGTCAGTATATTGGTGATGCAAGATCTGTCTGTCAGAAATCTATGCTGGAAGGTTGATATGCTTGATATGCTGTTGAGATATGCTTCGAGATGGCCTCTTTTAGAATGTTGCTCGGTACACTAGTCAGGGAGATAATACGGTAGCTTATTAGAAGGAACATACTACCATTTTTGCAGATTGGGGAGAGAACTGCGGCTTTCCAGCGAGAAGGGAATATTCCCTCATCCATACACCGAATTTCTCTTGGTATATAGACTTTTTGGTTGAATACTAGTGAAATATCTATAGGTATTTCATACTTTTAGCACTAGACTTTTTAGTGCTTACTATTCCAAGTGTTGAACACTTTAACGGTTCACGGAGGTTGTATTTGAGTCCTTTTAACTTTTATAGTTGTGTTCCCCAATCGTTTTTAGCTAACTTACCCGTGTATCCGTTTTACCAGGTCGTGTTTTCTCAAATATTGCACTTTTATCACAGAGCGAAAATCACTGTGGATTCACTAGTTGCACTAGTAGCAGAGGGCAACAGGTACAAAAAGTGGTGCCATCATAGGTGCTCACTTTAAGTAAAGGAGTACCTCATACACACTGAATCTGAAGTGAGTATGTGACCGATGTGAGGCATTCACTCTAGAAGGCTCACGATTGATTCGGCGTATGGTTGCTGTTGAAGGATTAACACCTAAGATGCCGCAAAAGAAAACAAATACTCCGAAAAAGAATGAGGTTAAAGAGATCGTCGGTGGTAAACCGACTGGGTCGGTAGGAATTAGGTTGAAAACACAAGGGGGACAGACTGCCGAAAAGGAAGATAAAGCGTCTGTATGTACCTCAGAGACGCCGTACTCTTGAATGTACTATCAAGTGCGCCTTGCCCGTCCTCCAAACTTTCGAACAGATGTACGATTTTATCGGCGTACTCCAAATCGCGCAGCTTTTCTCCAGCTGGCCATTCAATACCTACGTTTTGGAGACCACTTATTGCGTTCTCCAGTATTTCTTGTACGACGAAATTGTATAGGAGTGGCAAAATAGGGTACCCTTACCGAACACCGGTGCTGGTGACGGACGGCCTGCTTGGTTCGCTGTAACCCCTCACTTGACCAGGGGTATGTGAGAACAGTGACCTCGGCAAGTGAACTTACTTCTGGTCATTCCCTTTCAAAGAAGGGAACGCATCAAAGCTTCGTGTTCCAGTGAGTCGGGGACTCCTTTCAGGTCAAGGAACAGCGCTATCTTTGGTCGGCGGTAGTGAAATATAATAATAAATTATATATATATAATATGTAACTCGATACAGCGCGATATTCACAAGCTCTCATGAAATATATCGCATCTCAGTGAGACAGCCGCCACTCAACTAGAAGACAGACTATGTCCGCAATCTACCAGTCATTTCCAATGGATTCATAATTATCAGGCCTGCAGAACATACGAAGTTTAATCTACAACCAGCAATACGTTTTTCTGCTCTTCTTAAACTTTTGAGTTTCTTTAAGTCTTCGTAATAATAATTTTTATACGTCCTTTTAAATGCACACTTGAAGAATGGTGGAACGCGTGTTCCTCGTTTACTCACTGTATGTGTAGTCCCTCAGGGAGGCTTATCATGCTTGATGTGATACTGTGATTTNGGGGGGGGGGGAACTCGGTGCCAGATTCTGTGCTTCCACAGAAGACGTAACAGACTTATTGTAATATATATTTAAATTCTTTGTCATAATTACCGAAAAGGAATTCATAGACAAACAGGTAGAACGTCACTAAGTTTCCGATTGCTATATGATCACTGTTTTCTTGTTTCAGACCATGAGTAGCAAAAGAAAATTGGATATGGGGGACGCGGAATTCGAGTTTCTCCGTGATTATCTCACACAGTTGTCCAAAACCAGCATTGCGGACTCCAAGAGCATGCTACTCATGATCAAATCGTTCTCCCCGAACTCTGTCAAGTTGAAAGCAAGTTTTCTAATCGATAAATCTGACCCCCTTTATTGCAGCTCGTAGAATATGAAATGGCAAAAGACAATGGCGATATAAGCGCAGCTGCTCATTTGTTTTCACAGCTGTAACCTGGAGTTTCATTGATTCACAACACACTTTAATATGAAGCTTTTCTTCCAGTCGTGAACTTCTCAGTGACGAAATATGCGCTTTATTTGATGGTCTCAAAAAGTCTCCACCGGACAAACCTTCCCTTGGTTAGTTTGACGCCCACATATCCTAATCTTTCAGATATATTTAGTCGACTCAGTCATTCCACGCAGCGCGATTTGTTTAACGCATACTTCTCCAGACTGTCTTGCACGTTATCCGAAAATGCGGATCTACTTTTGTATTTATTAAATGTAAAGGAGATTCAATCCCAAGTTCAATTGATTCCAAGCATTATTTCACTAGCCTATAGAGCTCTGCGTGATGGTGAAGCTTTGTTGGCCAAGACTTCCGGGATTTCCGATTGTGAACCAGTTCCTATGTTCACTGCTCCATTCGAAGATTCGAAGTCACCCAACACAACGCGAACTACTGCCAAGTAATATCTTGCTCTGCTACTCACTATCCTTTACAGATCGGGAGATGGTGATGAAGGAGAAGAAGGAGAAGTTCTGGGGGATGATGACGATGAGGATGAAGCAACATTGGAACCCAAAAATTCCGCCAGTGATTCAAACAGCTCTAAAAGAACTCTAACAATATGCAAATATCGACGAGTGCTTGCTTATGCATTATTACCCATCACTTATCAGGTACGACTTATCATTCCAATCATAGAGCATTTTTTCACAGATGTTTGACACGGTAAAGATCGACAGAAGGTTAATGGAGAAGATAGTAAACTTGTCGTTCAATTTTATTTTCGAATCAGTGGCTTATGTGACAGACCAACCCCTAGTGTTTGGATCAGAGCAAAAGTATTCCGAAAGTTCAAAGCCTCCAATGGATTACCTTATTGATTGTTTAAAAATGAGCGCCACCATTCTGCAATGGCCATTAAATTTATTCACCAAACATGAGTCCATTGCTGATTCATCTTCAAATTCAAATGACAAAACTATGAAGTCACCAAGTGAACTTATAACTATTCTCGATGAAAGCTGGGAAGAGATCCTGTCAGACCAAAAGCAAATGAGCCATTCTGTCGACACCGAAGTTGGCAGCAGGCGGCGACGAAGTGCGCAACGTCGGGAAGACATTGTGCATAGCAGTGCTAAAATTTCGTCTCTGGCACATCAGTCGATTGTTCTCTTTTGGAGTCTTCTGCTGAATACCGCCGTTAAATACGTTTCATTCACTCGACCATGTTTCATGCAGAACACACTCAACAATAAGGAAAAGTCATCCGTTTCATCCTACCCAGTTGATATGAGCATCCTTTTCTCGTCCAGTCCGATAACAGAGAAACCGATCAGTCTTGCTACTTCTAATACCACATTTCCCATCCTAGTTCACTTATTGCAGTATCGTAAATATAAAGAAGTTCCAGAAAATTACACCTTGGGATCACATGAACTGAATCTTTGGGATGCAGCCATTCGTCCTTCACACCGATCTTCAAGACCTAGCTCAGTTCCATCTTTGGAGGAGATTGTTTGTTTTGACCTTACGTTGAGCGGCATCCTGCGCGCTCCGTGGATGCCACGTTGTTTGGATTCCGACGGACCACGTGATGTGTGTTTAATGGAAACCTTGATTGCATCGGTTTGTCCACAGGATGATCAGAAGTTTGTACGTTGGATTCTATGTGCCTACTCGTTCAATCCATTCAGTCAAAAGCCTTGGAACGATCTGATACGCAATCGAGAAGATTTTGTGAGAAATATGAGTTCTGTAGCCGTTGAGGCATCCAAATCAGATTATCATCCCATTCGAACAACCGAAACGTGCTGGTTTGTCCAATTTACGGAATACAATGTCATCTACTTGGGTTGTAAGGTTATTGCGCATTGGTTGTGCTCCAACTTGTCTCGATATTCGGGATCATCGAATGCGGTTGCCATCGATGCAGCTTGTTTGGCCTGTATTATATATCAGGTGGATACTGTGGAAAAACAGAGTGCTTTTCTATCGGAATTGTGGCCTGCGCCTTATCAAACAATGTTGAAACTGGTGGAGGACAAATGGTCCGACGTTCGAGTCCGCTTTCTCAATTGGATCCTCCCACCGACGTCTGCAGTGGCTGATAGTAGCCTGATAAATGAATTTGTTCTCATTGAAGCTGCGTGGCTAGTAAAAACGGAGTAAGTCACTCTATTTGTGAAGTAGCCGCAAACCTCATCTTTATTTGTACTTGAGTCTATTTAGTACTCCATTGAGTAAATCACTCTGTGGTTTATAGTTCCTGATAATATCACGCTCTAAGGATGCTAATAACTCTTCACTTTGCTTTCTCTAACCAGTATGTAAGCTCAACATTTTGTGAAGCAAAACGTTTCATCGATCAGAACCCAACAATGCCTTTGTTTAGAACTGAAGTGTGAGATACATGGAACATGGTCAAATCGCCTGTTGCAAAGCCTTGCTCTGCATGGAAACATGAGTTCTGCTGTCTGATAGAGGGGTTTACTCGTCTCTTTCTGTGAGACACAACTGAAGATGTACCTAGGTAAACAACTACCGATAAAATGATGGAGTTGTTTGGTTTCCACCTTAAACCTTTGTTTGATAATGGCTTTATTGTCAGGTTGTAAACATTGCAAAAGTTGTTGAGCAAATTAGCAGAGACCTTATACTGGTTTGCAAGGATTCTAGCGAGCCTAGAAACAGCAGAATTTCTGTAGAAGTCAGTGCAGTTTAAGTTTGTACAACCATTAATCATGCACTATCGTGCGGGAATGCAAGAAACCATACGCAGAACGTGTTGGGGTATAACTGTGGCATATGGATAGATCTGCAAGTAAGGGATGATCGGGATAAGAAAAGATTTATTGTGCTACTTTTCACAGGCAAGCATATGTAGTTCACACAGCTTTGTATATACATCCTTGTGGATTAATAAAGACACGACTAATAATCGACGGGCCGCAGTGAGCAATTTTGAAATTTTCCTAAGTAGATCGGCAAAAGCCACAGTGGAGCAATAAAGAAGAATGGGTAAATTACACTGACAAACAAAAGATGAAATTATTTCTTGTTCAACAATGTATTGTCTGGATATTCGAATTCTGAAGCAAGCCTTTCCCGAGATCAATTTCAAAAGAAAAGACCGAATTGCAATACTGCACGATTTATGTCCAGGACGATTTTGCTGCATCTCAACATGGTGCATACTGCAGAAAAAACATCAGTTATATAGGAATTTAGCATGGCAACAAAGAAGAGTAGAATACAATGAAACAGACAAACATAAAAGGGGGAGGGGTTAAAAAGACTGTCACCAGGTTGAGGATAAACTAACAAAGTTCTTTTTGTTGACACAAGGGGGCTTCCATAGACTGATAGCAATCACTTCTGCAAACCGTAGCAATCTTGCGCTTCGTGACTTGTAGATAATCCGAAACGCCATGCTTCGGTCGATCTGGTGTTGCGTCATCAGAAGATGTCGAGCTATGGTCGATGACGGAGTCTTGTAGTTTCGACCGTTGTTTCTATGCCGTGGAACTGACCCAGATTGCGTCATCTGACTTTGAACCCAATTTGGAATATGTTCAACCGGTTGCGTAACTGTCGCTTTGTTCTGCCCACGTAGGTCGCTCCGCACCCACATTGGAATTGGTAAATCAGATTAGAGTTGGCGTACATGGGAAGACGTTCTTTTACCGGGGGTGTGGGTATTCTAGCTGTCCGATAGACGATTTGGGGATCGGCTGCATAGCAGGTTCGAGCAATTGCCGATCTTAGTCGTTTTTTGAACAAACTGCTTACGTTATCACCTTTGAATTGGAGGCACAACTTGAGTCACGAGTCACGTCCTAGGGCTTAGAGTGCTGGTTTCCATGACTGAAAAACAGGCCCTCGTGACCATGGTGTTTCCCTCATCTGATTTTGATCTTTTTCTTTCTTTTCTTTTTCATTTTACTTCTTTTTATTGAATATACAAAGATACAATTTTCAGGAAGGGGGAAGCGGCCAATCAGAGGGCTGCTATACAACACACAAATGGGGAAGTCAGGCGGTGGTGGTGGGATTCGAACACTCGTCCTCCGGGGTGATAATTGGTGACGTTACCACCGGGCCACCGCCGCTCACACGGGTGTGTAATAAAAATTCTGGCTCTTCTAGTCTCTTATAATCAACTTTTTCCATTACAAACAGAAATACTGAGTAGTCCTCGTTGGGGGATATAAGCTGGATTGATTCAGCATAAACCAGAAAAGTTCATCGAGGGCGCTGTTGTGGTGCACCTTGCGGACAAAAACATTGTGTAGAATACTTATAAGGGTACCAGCAAACATACTGTAAGCTATCCTTCAGCGACTTTAGGCAGTAGCAATAGTGGTAGTCATTTGATCTGTAAGCACGTCCCTTTCTTTGATACAGTCAGTCTGCGCGCTTGGTTGGCGTTGATTCTCACCCTGCATTAGCCCCCAAAAGCTATGTCCTTATGTGTGGCCTTGTGGTGAACAGCAAATTACGCGCTCCAAATCTAGCTTTCAAGTTCGATTTGTGCACATTAGCTATGTTCACTCTTTTCTAACCGCACGTCACGAACCACCAGAACTAGCTAATCACATCGCCTAGTTGAAGTCATAGCACCTTGTTTTAATCACTTAGTTGCATTACTTCCAGCGTGGTGGTGGCCAGGTGATCAAGGTCATCAGAATAGTGGCCCGGAAGTCCCGGGTTCGAACTGTTCCACGACTGCCCATCTCCGTCACTTTTGTCGTTTCCCAGGCAGTCTTTTTATAGTGGCAACCCCCTTCCTGGAAGTCGACTGTGCATTTGCATATTCAATGAATAAAACAGAAGTAAAAAAGACTATTTATTATTATACTCATAAGTAGTTTTTGAAAGCGAGTTTTTGTCTGCTGAAATGGTGTTTTTATCCACCTCATCATGTGAATATCCAAGAGATAGTGAAAATTTCATAAAGGAATTCATCGTGTATAGAGCAAATGACGCGTGAATTGAAAATAGTGAGCAGTTTGTTTTTATCGTTTGTCTTTCTCTCTCTACGAGATTATATTATGTGATTCTTGGAATCATCATTTCTCCCCGAGTACTTGACAATTGATCTCTCAAATAATCTTCGTATACAAAGTTTTACTAAAGCCCCTTTCGTTCTGTTTTGTCCAATCGTGTTCATCCTCGGATATTTTTGTTTAATTTTCTGTCAAGAGTTCTTGTTCATTTCTGTTTAACCTCCACAGAACCAGCACTTCCGATTTCATGGACGCCTGTGTCGCTTGTATGAAGTCCCCCGTAGCTGAATCGATCCATGTCCGCTTGCGGCGTTTTGTACAAACCGAATCCAATAACATCCTCCTTTGTCTCAAGGATTTGTCCGGTGTACCTACCCAGAAAATGCATTAAATTTATCCATTTTCTAATTTCTGCGTTTTTAAACACCTTTTCCTATTTGACAGCGTAGTTCGTATACTATTTTATGTTCTCTTATAGGTTCAAATATTGAAGTAAACAAGTTCAATCACTGGTCTACAAAGTGAAACGGAAAAGATTGAAAAGTTTAATAGACAGACCGATTGGAACCGGCGCTACAGTAAACTTCTTCATGCCCCAATACCAGATCATGGACCGAAACCACAATCAGCAATTATTAGAAAATGCAATGATTAGTCATGCGCAGTTGCGCGAGATGGGATTTCAATAACGTTTTATTTGAGAGGAAATCCATACAGGCTTTATTTGGCAAACAATGACCGTATTGATGTTCAAACTGTACGGCTTAATAATAATACGTGTGAGAAGGTATAATGCGGTTTTGCAACATCCTCTCCAACTGGTTTAAACGTGAAATATTGGGGTCACTAGCTCTGTTTGCTATTGACACTAGAAAAGAGTTAATTGGTCAAGTTGGTTGTCTGCTCTAAAAATCTTACCGTCATTTTTGCGTAGATTTCTCATTGTTTCCAGTGTCTACTATCCAAAGGATTGAGTGTTGTGTATCGGTGCTTCTGTAGGTAGTATAGGCTAGGTCGAACCGAATGGTACCCAATCCCTAAGCGGGACAATATTATCTCTTCCGCCTACAAAAAGTGTATGTGGAATGCGAATTGCACATGATCTCAGCGTCCTCTACCAATAAACCGTACTTTGATGATCTTATACTACGTCGCGGGGGTACAAGAGTTGGTTCTGCATTGTTATTCCTGGCGTGAAATTAATTATATTTAGAATGTTCATGGGATTGTTTTGTTTGTGGATTAGCGGGATAGGGACCGAATCGAATGAGGGTTGTTTACACAACCTCGAATGGACGGCTGCTGAGATTTGCAGAGACCATAGCAATCAAGCGACGAAAGCCCCTGCATCGTTAGTCAGGCGTTGCCCTGGTAACCACATAAGCGGAAGAGTGAATTGATATTATGTTATATTATCAAAACCTGTGATTTATAAGCTGTTTTGTATTCTACAGTAAGCACTAGCTGAGATGCAACGAAAAGATTCCGGACTTAAATGGTGCTCGCTTGCAATGTTTCAGTTTTTGCAAACATTTACCATACATGCACTTTCGCGGGCCGGTTTTGGTTGCTGTCTTTGTGTTCAAGTTTATTTCGGGAACTAAATGCTTTGATTAAGTATAACATCGATTTGGGAGCAATAGATGTCCCCCCCCCCCCGGAAAAATAGGAATTTAGGAATTTCGGTTTGCAGAGTCCTACATTGCGCTGTCTTGACCTGAGATCGAGTGGTTTTGGTGCAACAGGGAATTGACGCAACATTATTGTTTTGATCGAACCGTGCTTTTGCTGTCATTCAATGTTAACTTTGACCTTTCCTCTACTTTGTAGAACTTCCTTGTGTTCGTATTGGCCTTCCTCTGTTACCAAGCCTATGGCTGTCTGTGTAGGCAATTATATGTCCGTTTACATTGTGTGCTAGTCCTACTAATAACGGGTACAACTCATTTTAGTTGATCACGGAACAAAAGAACAATTTTCCCTCTTCATGTTTGCAGTTGATAATTGTCTGTATGTTTTCGGGTCTTCATATATATGTGGTAACGAACCCAATTCTTTTTAGTATAGTGTGCTCAGAGAAAAATCATCGGTCAGTTATTCTCTCTCTACGAGACGTTCCATTTCGTGGTGGTTTGCTTCGAAAACAGATGTTAAAATCTGGTTCGATCAAAGGAAAAACAGTCATCCACTATACGAGCTCGGCGTTTCCTCACTCTATCACGCACACAATAACCGTCCCTGGTAGACTTAGAGGGCGTAGGCCTGGGACGCTCAGCCGAGGGGTGGCCTTGTTGCGTCCACAGCGTGCAAGGTCCTGCTGAGCGTGAGAGGTGGATTATTGTACTCTACTTCTGGGATGGGCGCTCACGAATGCAGCGCGGCTTGCCACGCCGCGAGGAACGTGGCGGATTAGCTGATGCGAAGTCGTGGCATCGAGCAGAGGCTCAGTGTTGCCGACTCTGGCCATAATCTTGTCGACGGTTGAGGCGACATTGTCTAGGGAGATATCCTCTAGCAGGACGGTTAACGTCGTCTGTACATGGACCGGTAACACCTCAATCCGTAGTTCCCTGACGATGTCCGAATGGGCATTGTGAGGTCCGGCGAGGGACCTTAGGTGAACCAGGTGTTGGTTGGCCTTAGCCTCACCGATCGGGGGACGTGCTAGTAGTTTCCGCAGCCTGTCCTCCTTCAATGGGAGGAGTATTTCAAAAATGACCGATTTCAACTTGTCGAACGGAGAATCTTGAAGAGGATTCAAAAGCAAATCCGGATGATAACAGGAATGGTTTTCAGTGCCAACACAAACGTGATGCGTTGGTTCCTAATCTTCCCATGAACAAATTACAGCTCTGACGCTGCGAACACTTCTGGGTCATGNGAAGGACGAATTGAATGGGACGAAAGCCTCCGTATTCAGTGGTAGAACTCGTCTTGTTATCAGATGAGGTCGTGTTACAATAATATATTTAATAAAAATATACATATCGTACAACAAGGACTCAAACCACCACAGGGAACGAGAACTAAACTTTCTTTGGGCTCAGTAGTTGCAATGCGTCGACTACGGCCAGTCGTAGCGATCTTCTGAATGGCTTCAGTGATTCGCAAACAACCAAGTTATTACTGGTTAAACCAGAAGAATTGCGGTTAATGCGTTAATGGACGAAAGCAACAGGTGTGATATGCTTGGCTCGTGTGTGCAGCAGGATGTTCCTCGTGAACGAATGCATCAAACTGGATGTGGGCCCTCTCGGTGCTGATTGGACACATCAACTGACAGGAGGTTCTCCGTGGAGAGGGTTGACTGGCAATCTTTAAGAGAGAAAAATACCAACACCATGAACCAAAAGGTTAAGTGAGACGAACACAACTCACACTCAAACAGAATGGAAAGTGACCAAGGTCGCTACAACAAGGGCCAGCGAGCGTGATAACTTGCAAACCGATCGAAAGCGAAAGTCCTCGTGCTGAAGGATGCAGTAGTTAGCAGTCGTGTAAAACAAAT